GCTGTGCCCCCCCATATTTCATTTGTACCCCCCTCAAAGCCAATCGTTCATCCCCCCAGTGTTGCCAAATGTCTGTAAAATTACTGTAATTCTGGATGAGCAGTGTGTCAACCAATAGCTCTAAAAAGGTAAAAAATAAGCGAGCGCACTAAATGAAGCAAATAAAACCTTAATAAAACTAATAAATCTAAAAGAATTGCGCACACTTTTAACCCTTAAGGGGACCTCTGGCTGTTTTGGATCTACGTAGTGTCCTGGAGCTATCTGCTGTGCCACTCGCCCTTCAGAGGGAGGATAATCCACCACCTGGTCTACCCTGATTTCCTTAAGAGGACATCTGGCTATATATTTACATGTGCATTTGTGTTGCGCATCTGGTGAGTGCGCAATTTTACTACACCCATTTGCACAAGCACCGGATTATCATTGGAGCAGGTACCTTCAGAGCACTAATTGTCACCTTTGAACGTTTATTATTTATTCATCATTTATTCATTTATGAACTTCATTATTTATTTAAATGCTGAGTAACTTTTAGGGAATATATTTTTTAGCGCTGCACTGTGATTTATTACCCAATAGCTCTGCTTATCTGAGTAGGAGGGGAGGGACTGCTGCTAAGTCAATCCGCCTCCTGCCGCCACCTCATCCAATCAGCACAGCACTGTAACACGTCGCTTCCCTAGCCCGCCACATTTGATTCAGCAGGGAAGAGGCTGGAAGCCAGAGTGGGGCTGGATGGGGGGCCGTAGGGAGTGGACAGAAAATACATGAAGTACAGGTTCCTCCATAGAAGCCATGATAACATTCACAGCAAAACGAATCACACAGGGCTGTACACAAGCAGCTCTATATAAACAGCTGAAAGTCACCGCTAGCAATGAGTGGCACACTCACCCCGACTACAGCGTCTTGAAGAAGTCTAATGATCAGTGTGGTCACCCGTGCAGTGTGCAGCTTAGGCAATGATTACCCAGTTTAGGGAACAGCTTCTTTCTCGCTTGCCTGTCTGCATTACTTTTTAAATTTATTTTTACTAGTAATCTGCACACTGCACACCTGACGGACCGGTGACCACACTGATCATTAGACTTCTTCAAGACGCTGCAGTCGCGGTGAGTGTGCCACTCATTGCTAGCGGTGACTTTCAGCTGTTTATATAGAGCTGCTTGTGTACAGCCCTGTGTGATTCATTTTGCTGTGAATGTTATCATGGCTTCTAGGGAGAAACCTGTACTTCATGTATTTTCTGTCCACTCCCTACGGCCCCCACAGGCTGTTTGATAGGGTCCTGTGTGAACCCTCTGTGATTTATTTGATGGTTTCCTTTTTATGATGCCTTTGCTGGATTTAGGCTGGTCAGACTGGCAACTTCACAGACTTTCAAGTCATTTACTGCCCTCCTAACTTACCTTGAGCGATTGACTGTCCATTAGTTAGAATTTGGAACTGCCGCTAGGACACACTTGTAGAACCAACTTCTGTAGAACCAGGCTTCCCTGCTGAACTGGCCAAACTTCTATTCATACATAGCTGGCTTAGGGGCTGAATATTGTCCCCCTAGACTTTTGGGTAGGTCAGAAGACGCACACCCTACCATCCTGAGAGTAAAAAAACAGTGCAGTGACATACATAGAAGAAGAGGAAATAAAGTGCTAATCAGTGCCAGGACAAGGGGCAGCTGCCCAGGGCGCGGCAGTAGGAGAGGGCATCCCTTCACCGCACAAAAGCTTCAAATCAGTGGCTAGCAATCAGGAGACACAGTTTCACATCTGTTCTGATAGCTACTTCTGTCACACCCATGCTCTAACATACTCGCTCTCCCCTCCCTCATCCACCCACATCTGACACAAAAATCACACAGTGCATGTGCAACTACCTTCTAGCCACAAGAAAGTAAGTGATTGACCATGCAGAGCCAGCGCACACTCCATGCCAACCATGGACCGTTGGAGCAAGAGGACAAAGAATGTCCACAAGGCAGTAACCCATTCTATGGCATGGATTCGGAAGGAAGCCTGGATCTGCATCCTTGGATGAACCTGTACTGGTACTGATGCTAATGTGCAAGAAAATGGCTAGACCTTGAGGCCTGGTAAAAAAAATTGCCCCGATCTTGGCCAAAAGGCATAGCCCATGAAATATAGCTCAGAAAAAGCAGTGGTATCATGTTCTAGTGCTCGTTCTCATAGTGGGGTATAAGAGCACCCCTAGTTTGCCATTCCCAAGGGCACTGACACTGAGGTTCTCTGCCTTTCCATACCAGACCAGAGCAGACCATTCCTACCAGAGCTTGCCTACAACCAAGGACAGGCCTGGGGCACCAGACCAGATTCAACTTGGGAGGAAAGGATCCCTTCCACTGTACCCAGCTTATTACATCGGGAATTCCAAACCGGAACCTCAACTGGGAAGGAGATTTGGTGTTCTGTTCCAAAAAACTCATAAGAACAGATGCTACACTTGATGTTAGCTAAAACGCAAAGAAGCGATGTTTTTAATCCAAACTGTTTCAGCCTATTTGGCCATCATTAGTGCAGTGCATGGAAACCATGGCTTCTAAAGAGCCAATTAGACAGTGTACCCCTATAGGTGAGAATGAGAAGGGACTGAAGCAATCAAAAACCCCTCATATGAACAGTTGCACCAAACAATGCCAGAATTGCAGCACAAGTAAATGCTTTGCATAACATGATTCACCAACTGAGATGGACCACTTCCTACCATCTTCCTACCATCTTCCTATCATCTTCCTACCATCTTCCTACCAAACTCCTACCATCTTCCTACCAAACTCCTACCATCTTCCTACCAAATTCCTACCATCTTCCTACCATCTTCCTATCATCTTCCTACCAAACTCCTACCATCTTCCTACCATCTTCCTACCAAACTCCTACCATCTTCCTATCATCTTCCTACCATCTTCCTACCAAACTCCTACCATCTTCCTATCATCTTCCTACCATCTTCCTACCAAACGCCTACCATCTTCCTACCAAACTCCTACCATCTTCCTATCATCTTCCTACCATCTTCCTACCAAACGCCTACCATCTTCCTACCAAACTCCTACCATCTTCCTACCATCTTCCTACCAAACTCCTACCATCTTCCTACCATCTTCCTACCAAACTCCTACCATCTTCCTACCATCTTCCTACCAAACTCCTGCCATCTTCCTACCATCTTCCTACCATCTTCCTATCATCTTCCTACCATCTTCCTATCATCTTCCTACCATCTTCCTACCATCTTCCTACCATCTTCCTATCATCTTCCTACCATCTTCCTACTGTGGCTTTACCAAGATACATACAGCAGCTGCTTTTGTTGGGTATGTACAAGTTGCCTGGCTGCCTCTGGCCTATGTTCACAGTCTCTGACCTGGACAAGGTGTAAGTCAAAGGATAACAACGACAGCCAGGTGACTGGCATTTTCAGAAGCAGATGTCAGCAATGGCACTTTAAACATTTCTCTCAGTTCGGGTTTCCTTTGAACTTGCCATCTAGATTGTACTGAGCATGCCTGGGACTGATTAGGTACAGCACTAACATTCTGCTATAACATGTTTCTTTTCCAGGTGCTCGGTCCAGTATAAGCCATGACCCTCCATCCGCTGGCAGCAGCATCTACATGGAGACGGCTCAGTTCTTGTCCCAAGTCAATGCCATACAGGTGAGACCCTGAACCCGCACCTCACAAAGTAACTGGTTAAAGTGTTACTAAACCCACAACAGTACAATCAGTCTGTAGATGCAGTAAAGCATGCTTGGTATACTGACTGTGGAACCTAAGGGGTTTATCCTCTGCATTGTGTAAAAAGGCTGTTTGATCCTGTCTTCTCTGATCCTCCCCTTCTTCCAGTGTCCCCTTATCTCCTGACAACACATATCTTGTGGAGACACTCTGCGCATGCTCAGTTTAGTGTGTATTGCTAGAGAGGTTTTTTTTTTCTGGGGGGGAGTGCATGTGATCAGCACAGGGCCAATAAGCACTGTCCAGACAGAGGTCAGGGGTCCTGCATCCTCCTAGAGAAAAATAAAAACTCCTACAAGCTTTAACATATTCTCGGCTGGACACTGATAGAAATCACAAGACTGCTATATACTGCTGATGAGAAAAGGTATTTAGCAGTTTATGTTTACAAAAATAATTGTATTTCCATGTTGTGTATACTGTGAGAGACCAGATATAATGAATGCGGGGTCCGGGGAGACCGGATATAGTGAATGCAGGGTCCAGGGAGACCGGATATAGTGAATGCGGGGTCCTGGGAGACCAGATATAGTGAATGCGGGGTCCTGGCAGACCAAATATAGTGAATGCGGGGTCCTGAGAGACCGGATATAGTGAATGCAGAGTCCTGGGAGACCAGATATAGTGAATGCAGGGTCCAGGGAAACTGGATATAGTAAATGCAGGGTCCTGGGAGACCAAATATAGTGAATGCAGGGTCCGGGGAGAGTGGATATAGTGAATGCAGGGTCCAGGGAAACTGGATATAGTAAATGCAGGGTCCTGGGAGACCAAATATAGTGAATGCAGGGTCCGGGGAAACTGGATATAGTGAATGCAGGGTCCGGGGAGACCAGATATAGTGAATGCAGGGTCCTGGGAGACCAGATATAGTGAATGCAGGGTCCTGGGAGACCAGATATAGTGAATGCAGGGCCCGGGGAGACCAGATATAGTGAATGCAGGGTCCGGGGAGACCCAGATATAGTGAATGCAGGGTCCGGGGAGAGCAGATATAGTGAATGCAGGGTCCGGGGAGAGCAGATATAGTGAATGCAGGGTCCGGGGAGAGCAGATATAGTGAATGCAGGGTCCGGGGAGAGCAGATATAGTGAATGCAGGGTCCGGGAGACCAGATATAGTGAATGCAGGGTCCGGGGAGACCAGATATAGTGAATGCAGGTTCCTGGGAGACCGGATATAGTGAATGCAGGGTCTGGGGAGACCAGATATAGTGAATGCAGGGTCTGGGGAGACTGGATATAGTGAATGCAGGGTCCGGGGAGATCGGATATAGTGAATGCATTGTCAGGGGAGACCGGATATACTGAATGCAGGGTCTGGGGAGACCAGATATAGTGAATGCAGGGTCTAGGGAAACCAAATATAGTGAATGCGGGGTCCGGGGAGACCAGATGTAGTGAATGCAGGGTCCGGGGAGACCGGATATAGTGAATGCAGGGTCCGGGGAGACCAGATATAGTGAATGCAGGGTCCGGGGAGACCAGATATAGTGAATGCAGGATCCGAGGAGAATGGATATAGTGAATTCAGGGTCCGGGGAGAATGGATATAGTGAATTCAGGGTCCGGGGAGAATGGATATAGTGAATGCAGGGTCCGGGGAGACCAGATATAATGAATGCAGGGTCTGGGGAGACCAGATATAGTGGATGCAGGGTCCGGGAAGAGCGAATATAGTGAATGCAGGGCCCGGGGCGACCAAATATAGTGAATGCAGGGTCTGGGGAGACAGGATATAGTGAATGCAGGGTCCGGAGAGACCAGATATAGTGAATGCAGGGTCCAGGAAGACCAGATATAGTGAATGCCGTGTCCGGGGAGACCAAATATAGTGAATCCAGGATCCGAGGAGAAAGGCTATAGTGAATTCACGGTCCGGGGAGAATGGATATAGTGAATTCAGGGTCCGGGGAGAATGGATATAGTGAATGCAGGGTCCGGGGAGAGCAGATATAGTGAACCTCATTTATATAATAAAAAAACCCAGTGGTGTACAGTTTTGCATAATTATCAGTTAAAGTAGCGCAGTGCTAAATAGCAAAAAATGGGGGTAAAACCTTTCCGGAGCTCAAGTGGTTAAGGACATTTGGTAATTACTGAGAGCAGATCTCAACACTATAATCTATGAGGGAGAGATGACAAGCCAGTGAGCAATTCAACTTACCAGTGTCCACCCAAGACTGAAATATTGAATTGACGTTGCCTTAAGCCCTCATGCACACGGGACGTTTTTACAGCGGCTGTTTTTGGCTTTTGACGTTTGTTTCTACAGCTAGTAAGCCCCCCAGCATGTTATCCTATGTGTCCATACACACATAGACTGGAATCTACGTTTTTTGGCTGGAAAAACACTCTAAGATTCTAATTGCTGTTTATTTAGTTTGTCCAGAGAGCCCTGGCTCATGAGCTCCTGAGCCCAGATGGAGGACCCAGCTGTAAGTACTACCTGATGTGTGCGCAGATGAACCTCTTACGAAAAGAATTTGATGCAGCCAATGAGAATCTGCGGGAGGCATCACAGATAGACCACCAGGTATGTCATCCTTGGTACATTCTACACTGTAACCTAGGTATAGCCTGATACAGGAGAAGTATGCAATGAAGTGGTAGCCATGTAGCTGTCCTCAATCACATAGATGTAAACTCAAGCAATAAAATCATGAACGCTTTAATGGCACTTGAAAAATCATTGTCAGGTGTTTTAAATCCAGATAAATTAAAAAAATGTTGTGCTGTCCCTTTAAATCTCAGTGAATAATATGTGCTCAAACCAGCCAAATTGTGAATCAAAGTGCTGCGTAAATTGACGGCGCTATATAAGTACCTGAAATAAATAAATTAAATGAAACTCTTCAGTGCGTCACCACTATCAAATAAGACAGGTCTCAAATGTTCTGACCCCTAAAGCTGGGAGGTCTAATAGCACTCAAATATGAATTCTCTGTGCTCTAAGCCACCAGCACCACTCATCCAATTCACTCTCCCAATGGTACATTCATGAGCATTAAATCATGTTATATCCCATCAAAAATAAGAGGAAACTCCTTGGTGTAATATTGCAAGGAACCGTTTTATTAAAACCAAGACAGATACTCGCATAATAAAAATGAAAGCAAGCAACAGGCAGGCGTGATGACGTCACAGCACCTCCATCCATTTTTATTCATCTGGTATGTTTTGCTATTTAGTATCTGAAATATCAAATGAGCACTGCTGCAGTTTTGGGTTTGATTTATAGTAGGCACTAATCGCGAGTCTTTCACATAGACAGTATTTCATTATGAGTTGTTTTAAAATCTGAAATCTTTTTTGGACATCGTTTTAGACCGGCTAGAGAACAGCGATAGTAAATCAGAACCACTTGCAGAATTGGGTGATAATGATTCGTTGGGGAAATTTGTCATCAGACACTGAAAACAATTCTGTGACTGAGCTCAGTGATGTGCGAACTTGGCGCTATATTTCAAATTTCAATGTTTTTGGTTTGATTATATTATTGAATTAAATGTATTATTATTATATTATTATTTTTTATGATTATTTATTAAATTGTAATTTATGATTTCGTGTTTCAAGTTTTATCATACCCGGGATGTTTACTAGACTCTTGTTCAGACAGATTTCAGTGAGTTATTCCTAAGAATTACAGCCTACAATAAAAAAAGGACATATTTCCATGCAAAAAAATGTACCACTTTGAGCACAGAAATACTGACATAATCAGACTGCTAGGGAGGTTAATCGTTGAACTGGATGGACGTCTGTCTTTTTTTTCAGCCATATATAAATAATAAATCCTCTTTAGTGTCAGCGAATCTTCCCAAATTTTTTCTTCAGTGTAATAATCCCAAAATATGATCCATTTCCACTGTATACCTCCAAAAAATAAAATAAAAACTAGATAATGTATTATCCTCAATTAATCAAGGATAAAAATCATATATACATTTTTTTTTCAGCCAGACTAACTATGTAACTATGTGTTGGCTCTGTGATAACATCTAATTTTGGAATGAATTGATATGAGGACAATAACTTGTGGGGCTTCTGTCTCGGATTCTCTACATGTCATTCAGTTACCCCGGTTTTTCTTTACGCAGCTAAACACTTTGGACCAATACAACCTAATGGGCACATAGAATACAATACTGAAGCATTCAGATTTATAAAATGTATGAATCTGAAGTCAACAAACTTCCGTCTGATTTCCACAAGATTTCTGGCAAGATAAACAGATTTCTTTTTGTGCATTTATCAAATAGATATAACCCCCGGTTCACATCTGTGTGGGTGGTACCTCTGCGGATCCGTACAAAAATCCGTGCAGCTGCACCACCCCGCACAGAGAATTGCGGACCCGCGGGCGGGTGCCATTAGTTCTAATGGCATGCCGCCCACACTGGAAAATGCAACCGTACTGGGAACCGAGGTTGCCATGTGGGCTGTGTTTTCCAAAGTAGTGCAGGGACTTCTTTCCCTGCGTGTCACGGGCATGGGAGTCCATTCAAATGAATGGGCTCTTGTGCCCGAGCAAAACGCAGCCCGCACGGCCGCAGAGGTGTGAACCGGGGGTTAGGGTTAACATCTACTTTAATTCATGGTATCTAAGATACGTAACATTCTTCTGGCTCACACTGTCATTCAGTATCATCATCTCTATTGGCCCCCGAGGGATCAGATCACTGGAATTGGCGAGTGATTGGGTAATTAAAAGATAAAAACAGGGCAGTTATAATAGGGAGTCCATTGTATATATCTGCTTTATGTGCGTATAAGGTGAGGCCTAGGGATCAGTACCACCGACTGATGTTATGTTTTCTCCCCCCAGAACCCGGATGTGTGGGGTTTCACAGGACACCTGCGTTATCTAAGCGGTAGAAAAGGGGAGGCCCGGGAATGTTACGAGCACACGCTCAGCTTGGTGTCTGATGCATCAGACATGCACCCCATCTTCCTCCGTTTGGGGTCCATCTACCTCCAGGAGGGAGAGGTAAGTCCACATGTAATGCTGTATTATATGGACCAAGCAGCTACTGTGTTCTAGATTGTTTGGGTGCAAATCACAACTCTAGGGAATCTTCCACAATGATTGTATTTATATCGCAGTATGAGAAGGCCAAGAAGACCTACCTGCTGGCTTGTAAGAGGTCACCTACCTGCCTGACCTGGCTGGGAGCTGGAATCGCATGTTACCGGGTAACCTTCTGTAACTTCTATACTCCACAACATCTGCAGTTACAGGTCATTGATGTAATACAGAGGTGATTTGCGTTTTGGTCCATCGAGGTAAATTACCCATTGGGTCTTCTTTGCTGTCTAATATCCATGGTGGCACCGCTGCCCCCCCCCCCCCCCGCCCTATCTACCTTTGACACAGCATGTCTGAGCTCAATTCTCTCTATCTCCTATGGAATATCCATCAGAGGATGCAAACACTGTGTCATGAGTTAGAAGTGGCACTAGTAGCTGAAAAGCCAAGCTTGGCCCCTGGGGTGGTGGTTGTGTCCCAGCTATGGTCATGACAGCAGTGAAGATGCAGTGGGCGCCTTAAAACTTCCACTTTCTTCTAATGCCGGCCATACATGGGTCGAAATTCAACCATTTTTTTGTCAGAAAATTGGACCTAAGAATAATCGGCCTATTTTAGCTCTGTTAGTGGGTCAATGGCACTGGCCGATTTTCGTGGTTCCTCCCCTTTTCGGTGATTGGGCATGTTGGAAAATTTGTGAAAAACTACCAATTTTTGACTCAATGATGGTCAAATTGTACGATCGTTTTTCCAAAAAGAATATGCGCATGAGCCGTGACCTGGAAGGAACATAAGTTTCGGCTGTTATATGGGGTGAACTTTATGACTTGGTCGGCCAATTTTTGAAATTGTTGATGGCACCATTGGATTACCAAGCGAACGTTTTCAATTTTCAGATGAAAAATCGTTCGAAATTTGACCCATGTATGGCTTGCATAAGTCACTGGTCATACATGTGAATTCGCAATAAACTGCAGAAAAAGTAATGCAAGAACTGCTTTAGAAATTGGGCTGCTGTTAAGACACTGACATTCACATTCATTAGGAGCGATTTCAGGTGCGATTTCAATTCGCAAATTGCACCTGAAATCTCACTGGTGTGACCGGGCACTACAACATGAGTTTAGGGATGTACACAACAGAAATATTTGTTTTGTTTTAAGTGATTCTAAAGGCTTACATTAAAAAAAAAAAAAATAACAAACATGTCTATAGTTAACTGCTGTGTGCGGTGGTTTTGCACAGAGCAGCCTGGATCCTCCTCTTCTCGGGTCCCCCACCAGCTCCTGGCCCCTTCCTCCTGTCGGGTACCCCCACAGCAAACAGCTTGCTATGAGGGCACCCGCTGCTCCGTGTGTCCAATCACAAACGGAGCCACAGCTCAGCCCCGCCCCCACTCTCTTCTCATTGGCTCGCTGGCTGTGATTGTCTCAACCAATGAGGAGAGGGAATCCCAGGATAGCCAAGACTCCAGCACACATCGTTGAATCGGGAGGGGCTTAGGTGAGTATTAGGGAAGGTGCTGCACAGAGAAGGTTTTTTACCTTATAGAATGCATGAAGGTAAAATAAAGCCTTGAGCCTTTACAACCACTTTAAGTTAATAATTTCATTTCGTCATATTCGTTCTGTTAGAACTATTTGTTTTTGGAATTTGTTTTATAAATTCAGATTCGTTTTATATATTTATTACTTTTAAATTGATTTGAAATTTAAATTTTCAAATTAGAAATTCAAATTTTGAAAGATGGCTATATT